AAGAAAAAGTTTTTTATTGACAGGGTCTTCCTCTGTGGCCCAGGCTGGAGGGCAGTGGTGCGATCTCGGCTCACTGCAACCTCCGCCTCCCGGGTTCAAGCGATTCTCCCGCCTCAGCCTCCCGAATAGCTGGGACTACAGCTGCCCACCACCACGCTCGGCTAAGTTTTGTATTTTTTAGACGGGGTTTCACCACGTGGGTCCAGCTGGTCTCGAACTCCTGACCAGCCTGTCTCTTTTTTTATTGGTGTTGTTGCAGAAAGGTGATTTTATTCAGGCAGAGAAAAGAGAAAAAAGAAGAGAGAAAACTTCCATGAAGAGTGTGGAAGGGAAATCCAGGAGGGGAAAGAGAGCTCCCACTATGTGGGAGGGGATTCCAGACAGCTGGAAATCCCCAGCCTGTCTCAAAGGAAAAAAAATAAATATGTGCTGCTGCCACAGAATAGTCCTTGTCTCTGATCCTTCTCTCATACCCGATAGCTGACCTAGAAATCCTGTTGGTTTTTCCTGCAAGTATATCCATAATCTTCCTCCAGCCCACTTGGTTCAGGCCACCATCACCTTCAGACTGGACTATTGCAGTAGCACACTCCCTGGCCTCCTGGCTTCCAGCCGCCTTCAGCAATATGCCCAACCCACCAGAGGAATACTGGTCTGACTCTTAGTCTAAAGCCAATGTCCTCATGAATGATCTACACAATTTAGCCTGCCTGCCTTTCTTTCTTTCTTTCTTTCTTTCTTTTTCTTTCTTTCTTTTTCTTTCTTCCTTTCTTTCTCCTTCCTCTTCTTTCCTTTATTTTCTTTCTTTCTTTCTTTCTTTTTTTGGACTGAATCTCACTCTGTCGCCCAGACTGGAATGCAGTGGCACAATCTCGGCTCACTGCAACCTCCACCTCCCAGGTTCAAATGATTCTCCTGCCTCGGCGTCCCCAGTAACTGGGATTATAGGCATGCACCACCACACCCACCTAAGTTTTGTATTTTTAGTAGAGACAGGGATTTTCCATGTTGGGCAGGCTGGTCTTGAACACCTGAGCTCAGGTGATCCGCCCGCCTCGGCCTCCCAAAGTGCTGTGATTACAGGCGTGAACCACTGCACCCAGCCAGGCTGGTCTTGAACTCCTAATCTCAGGTGATGTGCCTGCCTCAGCCTCCCAAAGTGCTGGAATTACAGGCGTGAGCTACCGCGCCTGGCCAATTTGGCCCTTTTTTTTCTTTTTTAGAGGGGTGGGGATGGAGTTTTGCTCTTGTTGCCCAGGCTGGATTGCAGTGGTGCGATCTCGGCTCACCGCAACCTTCACCTCCCGAGTTCAAGTAGCTGGGATTACAGGCATGCACCACCAAGCCCGGCTAATTTTGTATTTTTAGTAGAGACAGGGTTTCTCGATGTTGGTCAGGCTAGTCTTGAACTTCGGACCTCAGGTGATCCACCTGCCTCGGCTTCCCAAAGTGCTGGGATTACAGGCGTGAGTGAGACTGTCTCAAAAAACAAACAAAACCCTGGATGGGTCCCCAGGAGCCCTGGAGACAAAGTCCAGGCTCCTCATCACGGGCCCACAGATCCTTTATGAATTGGTCCCTGTTGCTGATGTAGCCACATTTATTTATTTATTTATTTATTAACAGAGATGGGGGTCTCCCTATGTTGCTCAGGCTGGTCTGGAACTCCTGGCCTCAAGCCATTCTCCTGCTTCAGCCTACCAAAGTGCCAAGATTACAGGTGTGAGCCACTATGCCTGGCCCACATTGATAGTTTTTAGCAGTGGTGTGAGATCATCCACCTCTGGGCCTTTGCTCTTGTTCCTTCTGCCTGAAACATTCTTTGCCTACCTGACTTCTCAAATCAGCTGTCTCCTCCAGGAAGTCTCCTGCACCTTTCTCCTCCTGGGCTAGGCCAGGTCCTTCCTTGTGGCCTCCCTCAATCCCCTGGAGTCTTCTCATCCCAGCTCAAAACACTCTGGTGATGGGTGTGTCTTCCCACCCGACTGTGAGCTCCCTGAGGGGAGGGTCTGGGGCTGTCTTGGTCCCTCTGTATCCCCAGCATCGCCCACAGGATGACCACATAGCAGTCTGTCTTTAGGGACTCAATGACTCTCAGAATGGCATAGGCTGTCTTTAGAATGTAGGGCTGAGTTCTGTGTCCTCAGGCTTGGAGTGGGGAAAAGAGTGGGTGGTATTGGGGTGCAAGCACTAGATTTAATTCCTTGACCAACCCTAGCCCTGGGAGGACACAGAGTAAGCCGTTTTCGGAGTCTGAGTCTTCTCTTCAAGAGGACATAACAGACAGATATATTTTCATGGGCCTGATTCCTCTACAAGTTCCGACACAGGGCAGGCACACAGTAGGCCCTATGGGCTTTGGATTTAGTTTCTTTGCCTTTCCCATCACAGGGCGGGCACATGGCAGGCTCCCTAAAGGTCTGGGTCTCCTTTGGTCATTGCCCAGCACTGGAGGCAGGTGGTTCCTTACCCCAAAACTAAGGTCTGTGAAGACTGAGGAGCGAGTGAAGGCGGAGTCGAGAGGCGGGGCCTAAGGTGGCGGGCCCCTGGAAACTGACAGCGAGGAGCTGGGCTTAGGCACCTAGGGGCTTAAGAGACTTGGGACTGGTGGCCCGCACTGTAGAGTCTTCGGGGAGGAGAGGACTAAGACACTGCAGTCTTTTAGGGAGCAAGGATCCAGGCTCCTGGATTATGTGAGAGGAAAGAAATGAAGGCCTAGGCGCTTGGGTCTCCGACGTGGGGAGGCCAGATTCCAACATGTGGAGCTGCACACTTAGGCTCCCTAGCGGGTGTAGTCAGTGTCAGCGGGGAAGAACGCATCAGACGAGCACGCGCGACGAGGTTTGATCGGGAATTTTTATTGGGTCTCTGCTCTCTGTCCGCCCCCTGCACAGTCCGGATAGGCTAGGCTGGGCACTCGGCCCCCGAAGCGGTACGTGTACTTGCGCCCCCCGCTCTTGCGCACGATGTCGCGACGGTAGTAGTAGCGCAGGCCTCGGCTCAGCTTCTCGTAATTCATGCCAGGCTTTCTCTTGCGCTCGCCCCACAGCCGAGCCACCTAGGACAGAGGCCGGGCTCGGTAGGGGAGGGAAGGGGCGGGGCGGGCCTGGGGACGGCGGGCAGTGCAGACCTGGGGGAGGCCCCGCCGACTGGTGGAAACTGGGTTGGTAGTGGCGAGAGTCCAGGCGGGAGACTGGGTTTGAGAAGGGTTGGGCGGGCCACCGAGTGGGCCGGGGAGGGGCGGGGCCAAGGTCTAGGCAATTGAACCTAGCCCTTGGGGGTAGCTAAATTGAACTAGAGGAGACGGGGCAGGACTTGGCTGGGCAGGAGAGCTGCCCCACCTCTTTGGGGTCGCACAGCTGGAACTCGCGGCTGTTGCCTGTCCAACGGATGCAGCTGCTACGCGCCCCGTCGTGGAGCAGCTCCAGGAGGAACTGCCACAGCTGAATGGGACCTGCGAGGTGAAGGGAGGGGCACACTCAGTCTTCCCGGCCCTAGATCACACCCCTTTAAATATCTAGAGGTCCGAGTCCTCCCAACTCGGGACACAGGAGTCAGGATTCCCCCTTCTCTGGGATCCACGAGTTCAGATCCCTCTATATAGGAGACCCAACAGTCAGCCTTGGGGACTCAGGCGTCCAGGGCCCCAGTCAGAGATTTAGGAGTTTGGCTTCCCCATCTTGGAGACCCAGAGTCTGGGCCTTCATCACTTTCGTTTTATATAATCCAGGAGCCTGCGTCCTCATCCCCTTGGTCCCTAGAAGACTATAAGTCTCTCTTAACAAGACCTCGAAGGCTGTCTTAGTCCTCTTCTCCCCAAGGATCTGGGACTGCGGCCCACAGGCCCCTCCTCCCTCCAGTATCTATCCCTAAGCCCCGCCCCCCCGCTGTCAGTTTCCCGGGCCCCGCCCCCTTAGGTGCCTTGGTCCCCGCTCAAGGCTCCAGCCTCGCCATCTCCACCGTCTTCGCGGCGTCTCACCTCGGTGGTTAGTTTTGGAGCAACGAGCCAAACTGGCACGGTCCGACTGCGGGCTCGGTTCGGAAGAAGCGGTGAGAGCTGAGCTCTGGTACCCCTTCAAAGAAGTGGTGCCATCCGCAGGCAACCCCGGGTTCCAGGAGGTGGTACAGTCCGGGCCCGCGGGCCCGCCCCACGAAATGGTACAGTCCGTGCGCGGCTCCCCGCCGAGGTCACTGCCCCAGTAGGTGATGCCGTCGGGGCCCACAGAACAGTCCCAGCTGGGGGTACTCCCGGCGGCCTGGGCGCGCGACCACGAGGTGGCCCCTCCCGCCGTGGGGACACAATTCTGACCCGCGGCGCCTTCAGAGCAGGCGGCGGGGGCGGGGGCGGGGCCCGGGCCGGGAGGGGCGGGGCCCAGGGTCTGAGAGTAGCAGCTCCAAGAGTCCCACGCTGTGCACGCCTCGTCTGTCCAGTTCCCCGACCATGGAAGAGCCTGAGGGTCGGGTTCTGTGAGGAGTAACGGACCCCGAGTGAGGGGGGCCCAGGTGTCCCCTAAAAAATTCTAGGGCCCTAAGCTCTCAGCCCTGGCACTTGGGGCCCGGCCGTCCCGGATCCATGCCATGCCACCTTGAGGGCTCAGGTGTTCTCAGTCCTCAAAGATCAAGAGTCTACACCTCCAGCCCCGGTGCCTCGGAACCCCACTCCCCTCCTCCCACCGCCTTTCCCCACACTCACCCGCCCCCCATGGAACTTCTGGGTACAGTAACGCGGATCCCCAGTCCAGTTGTGGGAAGCCTGCCAGGGATGAGCTCGTACCTGAGTATAGGGAGGAGCGTGAGCAATGACAGAGACCCCTAACTACCCACCCTCTAGTCTGCTTGTCAGGGACTGGGAGTTATGACCCCCCCAGCCCTTATTTCAGCATCCCGCGCCCCCTTCTCCACCCTCAGGAGGTCAAGCACGCAGCCCCTCCCCGCCCAGCCCCAGGAGCCTAGGCACGCCCCCCTCCTCCGTTTGCCCTAGGAGCCCAGCCTCCTGCTTCTTTCCCAGCACTCAGGAGTCCCAGCCCGCAGCCACCTTTACAGCTCTGATCTGGAGCGCCAGATCAGAGACATAGAAGCCGAATTCGGCTCCTTCTGCAGGCGATAAGGGGTTAGGGTCAGCAGAGGCCCCACCTGGGCACCCTCCCCACACACACGTTGTGGCAGCCCCGGCAGCCTACCCAGCCCTGCCAGCTTGTTCCCCGGAGGCACTTCCTGGGGGGATGCCTCATCCCAGTTCCACAGGTCCATGGATGCTCCTTCTGAATGTTCTGGGTTAGGAAAAGTCCACATGGCAATGGGTGAGCTGGTGACACTTGGAGGCTCTGGAGTCTGGGCCCCAGCCCTGGCTTCCCTCAGAGCCAGGAGTCCAGGCCTCCGCTCCCTCCTTCCCCAGGAGCCTAGAATCTTGGTCCCGGGAGTGAGGGACCACAGCCCTCTCAGTCTCTCAGATCCAGGAGTCCAGGCCCCCGGCTTCTTGGGAGTCTATTCCCCCAGGTCCTTCCTAACCCAGACACCCAGGCATCCAGTCCTCAGTTCATGGCTCACCTCTGGCGGGTTCCTCTGCCCCTAGCCGGGGGTCTCAGCCCCATTTCATATCATGCACCCCCTCCCCCAAGGGCCTGGGCAAGGGGGAATTTTCCGAGACGTCAGAGCAGGGGTCGCAGCTAGGCTCAAGTTGCAAGGGCGGAGGCGGGGCCGAGGCCGAGCCGCGACCCCTGCCTCGAGGATGGGCGCTGGCCTCTGGGGCTGCCTTACTGCAGGGGTGGCGTGGGCTTGGACGGGGACTTGGGGAACAGCGGGCTAGGTGAGAGAGGGCGGGAGCTGGGAGATGTTTACAGGGCGATAGGGGCGGGGCGGGGGGCTTGGTGAACAGGTTCTCTGCCTCGGGGTCTTGATCCTGCGACATGGGGGAGTGAGGGAGGAGAGTCTGGGGTCATCTGGGCTGAGCTGGGCTTATCTACAACAGGAAGAGGGATTTCCGGCCAGATTCCCCCCACGCTCCCCAGCATCAGCTGACGTCACAATCGGCAGAGTGACTGCCGGGGGTGGAGTGGGAGTGAAGGCGGACCCAATCTCCCACCAGGCCGAGTAGGGGCTGCTTCTCAGGAGTGCCAATCATAACAATATTGACATCAACAATTTCAACAATAACAATAGTAGCAATAACAGCCAACATCAAATGAGGGTTCATTGTGTGACACCAACTATGCCATGTGCCTTCATTGAATCCTATGGGGGAAATGAAGGCAGGCATCTTTCCACTGCCCTTCTTCTCTAGACCCCGTGTCCTTCTGTGCTGTAATAGTTTGGGGCAATTGGGCAAATTGGAGTATGAACTGAATATGAAATATTATAGAATTATGTTCTTAGATGTGATAATGGTATTCAGGATGAAAGATATCGTTAGGAAATGAACTCAGAGATGAAATGTTATAACGGCTGTAACTTGCAGTTGGGTGCTGTGGTTTATGCCTGTAATCCCAAAACTTTGGGAGGCCAAGGCAGGTGGATCACCTGAGGTCAGGAGTTCGAGACCAGCCTGGCTAACATGGTGAAACCCTGTCTCTACTAAAAATACAAAAAATTAGCCAGGTGTGGTGGTGGCTAATCTACTTGGGAGGCTGAGGCAGGAGAATCGCTTGAACCCGGGAGGTGAAGGCTGCGGTGAGCCGAGATTGACACATTGCATTCCAGCCTGGGCAACAAGAGCAAAACTCTGTCTCAAAAAAAAAAAAATTGTTTATGTAAAATTAAATAACTGGGTATCCTATATTTTTATTTGCTAACTCTGCAACCCTTAACCCAGGTAACTTGGCTTCAGACTGTGCCCATCCTGCTGTATTTTTTTTTAAGAGACAGAGTTTCACTTTGTCACCCAGGCTGGGGTGCAGTGGCACAATCTTGGCTCACTGCAACATCTGCCTCTCAGGCTCAAGTGATTTTCCTGCCTCAGCCTCCCAAGTAGCTGGAATTACATGTGTCTACCACCATGCCCAGCTAATTTTTGTTTCCTCTGTGTGTGTGTGTTGAGAGGGAATCTCTCTGTTGCTCAGGCTGAAGTTCAGTGGCGCGATCTTGGCTCACTGCAACCTCAGCCTCCAGGGTTCAAGCGATTCTTCTGCCTTAGCCTTTAGAGTAGCTGGGATTACAGGCATAAGCCACCACATCCAGCTAATTTTTTGTATTTTTAGTAGAGACGGGGTTTCACCATCTTGGCCAGGCTGGTCTTGAGCTCCTGATCTCAGGTAATCCACCCGCCTTGGCCTCCCAAAGTGCTGAGATTACAGGCGTGAGCCATGATACCTGGCCTAATTTTTGTATTTTTAGTAGATATGGGGTTTTGCCATGTTGGCCAGGCTGGTCTCAAACTCCTAGCCTCAGGCTATCCACTTCCCTTAGCTTCCCTAAGTGCTGAAATTATAAGCATGAGCCATTGCGCCCAGCACATTCTGCTCTACTTTAATAAGTATATAATATTTACCATTAAAAGTAACTCTTGCAAATGGGCGTCTTCCAATCTTCACCCAGCTTTTTTTTTTTTTTTTTGAGACGGAGTTTCACTCTTGTTACCCAGGCTGGAGTGCAATGGCGCGATCTCGGCTCACCGCAACCTCCACCTCCCGGGTTCAGGCAATTCTCCTGCCTCAGCCTCCTGAGTAGCTGGGATTACAGGCACGCGCTACCATGCCCAGCTAATTTTTGTATTTTTGGTAGAGACGGGGTTTCACCATGTTGACCAGGATGGTCTCGATCTCTTGACCTCATGATCCACCCGCCTCGGCCTCCCACAGTGCTGGGATTACAGGCTTGAGCCACCGCGCCTGGCCTCACCCAGCTTCTTGATCATTAGCTACTTGCTGTTCTGGTGGGGGGGCACTGCTCCTCCTTCCATTTTGCAGAAAGTAAACTGGGCTCCACGAGGGAGTCCCTTTATCAGGGTCCCATGAGGTGGGAGTGGCACCGGGAATGGAAGCAGTGTGGGGTGAGCCACAGAGCTGGGGGATCACTGGTCCCTCTATCCATCTGGCATGGGGGCCTAAAGGAAGTCCTGGCCTCCCATCCTTGAAGCTGGCCTCTCATCTGTGTCTCTCCATGTATCTCTGCCCTTTCTTCAGATTGGCATCTCTAGAGCTGGGTCTACTGCCATGGGCCTGACTCCAGTGAGGCTTTGTCACCCAGTCTCTTCTGACATCTGTCCCTCCCCATCTGTCTTCGAGTGTTCCTATCTCACCTCCTCGTCTGTCTCCATCTGTCTCTTGGTTTTCTCCCCATCTCCCTTCCCACTGCGCAGTCTCTGATGGTTCTCATTTCTCTGCCTCTGAGCCTCCTGCTTATGGTTCCATCTCTGTCTGTCTGCTACATTCTCTCTGTCTGTCTCTCCCTGTCCTCAGGAAGACTCGTGTACATTTAAAAAAAAAAAAAAAAAGGAAGTGGGCTCCCAGCATTTTGGGAGGCTGAGGCATCCTGGCCAACATGGCGAAACCCCATCTCTACCAAATACAAAAAATTAGCCAGGCATGGTGGCACAGGCCTGTAGTCCCAGCTACTTGGGAGGCTGAGGCAGGTGAATCACTTGAACCTGGGAGGCAGAAGTTGCAGTGAACCGAGATCATGCCACTGCTCTCCGGCCTGGCAACAGAGCAAAACTCGGTCTCAGAAAAAGAGAGAAGGCCGGGTAAGGTGGTTCACGCCTATAATCCCAGCACTTTGGGAGGCTGAGGCGGGTGGATTACCTAAGGTCAGGAGTTGGAGACGAGGCTGGCTAACATGGTGGAACCCCGTCTCTTTAAAAAAAAAAGAAAAGAAAAACATTGAGCGGGTACTAGTAGATCCCTTACTGGATATATGTCACCTTGAAGCCTGGGCCTTTAGTGCACCCAAATAATGAGCAATGTACCCAACTGGCAATTGTCCAGCCTCCCCCACACTCACTCCCGAGTTTCGGAGTCTCCAGTGCCTGTTACTCCACTCTGCACGTCCACCCGTACCCACTGTTCTGCTCCCACTCGGAAGTGACAATCACATGCATTTGGAAGCCTCCTTTCTGGAGTCATCCTCTCTTCCTGTCTCCTCCCGTGCCTCTATGCCTGAACCCAGGAGGTGGGGAAGCAGAAGCAGGATCAGGGGTAGGGAAGGCTAGTGATGGGGGGAAGGGGCTTTGAGGATCCTGGGCTGGGTGGTCTGGCCCAGATGGCAGGGGGCTAAAGGGCACTTCCTGCCAGGGAGGGAGGCCCTCACCCTCTGACCAGACTGGAAAATGTGACGTCAGAGAGGAGGCAGTAAGGCAGGAAGACAGGAACAGGAGAAATTCGACACCTCTCCAGGGGGATCTCCGTCCCTGAGAGGCCTCGGTATTGTCCATCCAACTTATGCCCCAGTCTTGCCCAACCTGCCCCTCCTAATGGAGGGTTCTGATGACTGTGTCCCTAGGAGACGCTTCTCTCCTCCCCATACTCAAACCCTGCCATCTCCCTCCTTTGGCCTGCTCCCTGCCCCAGCCTCCTTCCACAGTGGTGGCTGCAGGGCTCCTTCTACAGTGCACATCTGTGCTGCCAGGACCTTGCTGCTGCTTGAATCTTCTCAGCTTTTTGGGGCTAGCTGCTCCCTTCAGGATAAAGTTTAAGCTCTACAGCCTGGCATTCAAGGCCCTGCACAGATACCTCTTCACACAGGCAGAGGCCAGCTTGGAGCTGGGAAAAGGGGGACAGATCCCAAGTCTCTGTGGGTCTCTCCTCTTTCGTTTTCCAGCTCCAAGGGAAAGAACAGAGACCGACAGGGATACAGAAGCTTAGGGACAAGAAACGGAGTGGCAACCACAGAGACAGTGAGATACAGAGGTGTCCACTGAGACTCATGGCGCAGTGAACTGGCTGGCACAGCAGGGTGGAGAAGCTGGAAAACCCCACAAGAGACTTAGGGGTGGCCAGTTCCTTCAGGAAGGGTCCCCTCACCCACAGGTCAGCCCTCTGGTGCCCCCATCCTGCCCTGACCACTCTGGGCCCTCACTGTCAGGGCACTGGGCCTATTTTCTGCCACTGGACCTTGAACTCTAAGGGTGGAGGGCCCAGGACTTTCAGTTACCATCGTGTCCCCAAGAACTGTCCAGAACCTCGGTGAGAGTCTGCTGGATGGAAGAGGGCCGAGAAGCCTGTGAGTTCCAGAAGGGTAGGGCCTAGAAGATCCCCTACCTTGGTGCTGAGAACATAGGAAGTAGCCAGGACACAGGTCTGGGCCTCAGCTTGTTTTCACCCTTGCCATCCGCCCCCATTTTCTCCTCTGGACTAGTCGGCACTTAGCATGTGTGGAAGAGGTTTGAAGAGGGAATGGGACCGCAGGAAGGGCTCAGAGGTGCCCGCCTGGGTAAACTCTCCAGGCTCCCTGCCACTTCCAGGTGTGGGGAAGCCAAGCCCTGCTCCCCACAGCGTGCTTCCACACCCAGCCAGGGGTGGAAATGAACGTAAATTTATTGAAACTGGTTTTGGGGTGGGGGGTGGGTGGATAGCTGGGGGGTTTCCAAAGAGAACTGAGGAAGGAGCTAGCGCCCGGCCAGGTGGGAGCGGGTGCCCAGCCACAGACCCTATCTCAGGCCCAGCTTCTTCTTTTCCTTCTGCTTCTTGCGGACCACGTCCAGGTTCCGGTCCTTCCACATGCTCTTGCGAAGCTTGATGGGGCGTGAGCCCACATACTTCCCTGTGGGGACAGAGGGTTCAAGGCAGGCTCGGGT